TGATACAAGGTAGCTGATAAATAAGTAGAGCACAGGTAGCAAGTAGAATTAACTAAATAATGCCATCATACCAGATGTACCACCTGACCAGTAAAAGATTTAAAAACCAGGGGTTCACCCTGGCTGGTTTGGCCCAACGTCAGCGGTTAGAGCGTCGGCCTGCAATCCAGAGACACCCAGGTTGGGTTCCCGCTAAGGGCACGTACCTCGGTTGCAGTTTGTCCCCAGCCCTGGTTGGTAGTGAGGGTGGTAGCCACTCGATGTGTCTCTTTCACATCGATGTTTCTCTCTCTCTCTCTCTTCCTCTCTCTCCCTCCCATTCTATCTGAACAAAAAAATGGAAAAATGTCCTCGGGTGAGGATAAAAACCAGGGGTTCCTTACAAATGGCTCATCAGGAAGATGAGCCTTGATGGGACTTTTAAAAAATTTTTTATCCTCACCTGAGGATATTTTTGCATTTATCTTCAGATACAGCGGGAGGAAGAAAGGAAGAGAGAGAAGCATCGACGTGAGACACATCGATTGTCCCTGCACAACCCCAACAAGGGCAGGGGACAAACTGCAACCGAGTTACATGCCCTTAGCGGGCCTGGAACCCGGGACTCCCCGGTCTGCGGGCTGATGCTCTAACCATTGAGCAACGGCCTGGGCGATGGGACATTTTTTTGTTTTGTTTTTTTGAACAGGTTCTGTTTGACCCAGGCCTGATCTCTACATTCCACTCTCAGCAGTCTCCCAGATGCTGAGGGGTAAAAACCAAGGACTGCCTTATTCAAGTGTCAAAAGGCCACTCTTCATGACATATCTGCTAGTTATGCCAGGGCACTGAATGCACCCCATAAAGGAAGTAGTTCCTGCCATCATCCGTTTTTTGTTGTTGTTCAGATAGAGTGGGAGGGAGAGAGAGGAAGAGAGAGAAACATCGACGTGAAAGGTACACATTGAGCAGCTGCCACCTGTACGACCCAACCAGGGCCAGGGACAAACTGCAACCGAGATACATGCCCTTAGCGGGAACCAAACCCAGGTCTCTCTGGACTGCAGGCCGACGCTCTAACCACTGAGCAAAACCTGCCAGGGCCTTGCCCATCAGCCTTTTATGATGCTTTTATTTCAGATAATTGTCTCCTCTTCCCGACTGTACTAAGCTAAAAGGTAAGACCTTTACATGAACCCACTGTACATCTTAGCTCAGGGTAAATATATACCAGAACTATTATGTATTATGTTCAATAAATATCCACTTGGTGCATGAATGGCATTATCTTTTGGCTATATTTAGCAGTGGAAGAGATCTCATGAGACCTCAGTGAGATGCTGTTGCTACTAAGGAAATCCTGGACTGCACTGTCTAGAATGCAAAATCCAGGTAAGGAGAAAATAATGTTTCCTTTAGTCTACTTAGGAAGATATATTTTCCAGAGAGCAACCAAGAGGTGGAAGGATCAAAACCAATAGCCACACAGCATTTTAAAAAATATAATAAGGCCCTGGCTGGTTTGCCTCAGCGATTAGAGTGTCCACCCGAGGACCAAAGAGTCGCAGGTTTGATTCTGGTCAAGGGCATGTACCTCGGTTGTAGTTCATCCCTGGCCCTGGTGGGGGTTGTGTGGGAGGCAACCAGTTGATGTGTCCCTCTCATATTAATGTTTCTTTCTCTCTCTCCCCCTCTCTTCCTCCCTCCCACTCTTTCTGAAGATAAATAGAAAAATATCCTCAGGTGAGGATTAAAAATATATATATATATTATAATATATTTATAAAATAGGAAATCTCCGAGTGCATCACTCTTAGTAAGCATAAGCACTGAATCATTAAATGTATTTCAGTTAATAAATATATACATTTGTATTTACTAAGCTATAATATAAACTGTTTCTTACCGGAGGTCACAGTAAAAAACAAAATCTGCGCCTGGCCAATATGGCTCAGTGGCTGAGTGTCAACCCATGCACCAAGAAGTCGCCAGTTCGGTTCCCAGTCAGGGCACACACCCAGGTTGTGGGTCAAATCCCCAGTGGGGGACATGCAAGAGGCGGCCAATCGATGTTCTCTTTCATAGATGTTTCTATCTCTCTCTCCCTCTCCCTTCCTCTCTCTCTAAAATCAATAAAGAAAAATACTTTTTTTTTTTTTTTTTTGTACAGATAGAGTGGGAGGGAGAGAGAGGAAGGGAGAGAGAGTGAGAAACATCGACGTGAAGGGACACATCGAGTGGCTGCCACCCGCACGACCAACCAGGGCCGGGGACAAACTGCAACTGAAGTAGGTGCCCTTAGCGGGAACCGAACCCGGGTCTCTCCGGACCGCAGGCCGACGCTCTAACCGCTGAGCCAAACCGGCCAGGGCGAAAAATACTTTTTAATAAATAAAATACATAAATTATTATTTCTTAAATCTGAAATCCACTGGATTAGAGGTAGAAAGACTGAAAGAAGAGAGCAGACTGCTACAGAAGTATAGGCTGGGCTGCTAAGGATGAGCAGGTGTGAAAGGGCTGGAGTGAGCCTCAAGAGCAGAAGATGGAGATAAGAGCCCACCAGAATGTTTCGCCCTCCTCTGCATCCCTACATTAATACTGCCTGAGAGCACTGTCCCACCTTATTCTACCTGCCAGAATGGGAGCTCCTCCACCTTCCTCCAAGTTCCACTGAGCACAGGATCTAAACTCAGAAGGTACAAATATAAATGTCTATGAAACTGGATTTCAGAGAGAGAGAGGTGGCAGAAAGCAGTCATGTTATAGAAGGAAGAAAAGGTACAGTTCAGTCTATCCGATGTAGGGTGCTGATTCACAAAAAACACATCAGGGAGGGTTAAACCATTTTACTGCAGTTGGTGGGCAGGTGGGCAGGCAGTGACAAGCCTCAGTAGGGAGGTCAGATACCAGCTAGATCAAGAGGATAGATGCAGGGAGCCCAAAAACAGGTCCTTGGAGGGGAAAGGGAGCAAAGAAGACTTTATCCTACTACTCTTACAAGTCCTTACAGGTCATTCAGCCCTGGCCAGTTTGGCTCAGTGGTTGAGCGTCAGCCTGTGGACCAGAGAGTCCCGGGTTCGGTTCCCACTAGGGGCATGTACCACCAAAAAAAAAAACAAGTCCTTACAGGTCATTCAGAAGTATCTTGGGGCCATTAAAGGACAGGTCCTTTTGCTCAAAGCTCTAGACCTGGAGCTGAAAGCGGATGGGTTCCAGGTTAGAAAGGGTGTTCTTCTGGAGATCTAAAAGGAGAGAAAGGAAAGACAGAACAAACCATCAGCCAACACTGTGATATACGGAACTAGGCCCTGGGCCTACCTAATGGGGAAGGATATACAGGCCTGACTTGGGATAAGTAGCAACAGAGGTTGATGGATTCACAAAGAAAAACGCAGAGACTCCATTCTATCTAGTGCCAAACAATTAAGCAGGTGGCATTCGAGCACCATTCAGATTCAACCTACCCCAGAACTAGATCCCTGCCCTTACCCTTCCATAGCTACCTTAAAAGTTCCCAGTTACTGTTACTGTCCTGACAACTGACTTCAGAGCTGATGAAGAAAAAAACATGGTGAAGGTGATGGCCAGGGGTAGCTTAGATTGGAGAACATGAATGAAAGTCCTAGAAAGAGAAACAAAATCAGAGGCAGAAATGGTGATGGTGGGTCAAGGGTACCCTTCCAACACAGAACTGTCCTCCTTCCTGAGGCCAGAACTCCCCATTTACCCTCCAAACATACACAGATACCTCAGTGACTCCATATCAAGTAATGCCCAGTAATGCCCTTATGGGCTGCGACCCAGATGTTCATACTGCTCCTATCAGTCCATGTAAAATATAGGATAGCTGTACTTTGGCCCCCAATGCCTGGCTTCTGTAAGACAAATCCCTTTCACTGTCACAGGCACCCACACCCCCTAACCTGAGGAGATCATGCTCCCACCGGGCATCTTGGACCTCTGTCCTGGTAGCCTCCTTGCCCTCCTGCCGCTCTGTAGCCGCTCCGACATCTTCCAGATTATGGTCCCAAGTAAAACCAAACTTCTCCCTCTCCAGGAGATACCCCCTCCTCATAATTGGCCTCTTCAGCACACCTGAAACCCTCAAATGGGAAAGAACAGTTTCTCATGGCCTGGAGCAGAGGGCTTGGGAAGAAGAGATCTGAAGGGAGGTGGAGTCATCACAGGGAAGAGAAAGAGATGGGGAAGAGAGAAAGTATCCAGCCTGCCTGAAGACAGGGAAAGGAAGGGGCCTAAATAAGGAGATATGAAGGGATAGATCCAATCCTGGTCCTACCTTCCAGCTGTGACCTGAGCTTGCCACCCCTCAGTCATCTGTTTCAGCATCAGTTCCTGATGCTGGGCTGCAGATGAGAGAAAATGTAAGAAGGCTGTTCTCCAACTTCTTTCCTTCCTCCTCCCTGCCTTATGCCCAGTCCGGTGCTGAAAACTGAGATAGAAGCATTCTGGTCTAGCTGATAGGAAACTTCCAAGCTGAATCGGGAGAGTAGACTCACACCTTTGGAGGCAAGACAAAATACTTGGCCAGACTACTGAGTAGCTCAAGCTGATAGAGCTATGGCCACTTACTGGCAGAGAGAACAAAAAGGCTTTCCAGAAAAGGGGACAGGTGGACCCATAGCCTCCCCTCAGTCTTTTACTTACTCAGCTGGTCCTGCAGCAACTTCAGTTCCTCCCTCAAAACTTCTGACTCCTCTCACAGCAGTTGCCTCCTGCAGGGTGGACAGCATTGTCATTCTAAAAAGCCAATCAAGGCCTTGGAGAGAAAGGGGACTGACAGGAGTGGGTGGGGAAAGGAAGGGGTGAGAGAGAGGTTGGGAGGGCAGAAATTAATAAATAAATAAATAGCCAATCAAGAAGCCAAGAGGAGGCTACCAGAGTACCTGGAGTTCAAAGGCCTAAAGGAGAGGTCTTGCCCATCACTTACTCATTCTGCAGCTCTTGGTGAAGGCCACTGGTAGCACTGCACTTTTGTGGCACTATTTGTATCTGGGTTTGGGTCTGCTCCTGCACCTGCTTCCAAGGCCCTGTAGTTCCCTTCTCAGCCCATCCAGGTGTTGCTCTAGGACAAGAACCTTCAGCTCTGGGCCCCTCTGCAGCAACCTGAGTGATGCTATAAGACAAGTTGGGGGTTTGGGGGTCAACCCCTCTCAGAGCTTCACACATGAGCCTAGAGACTCCACTTGTGAATCAAGACACAAACTCAACAACAAGTGTGCAACAAAATTGTCTGCACACATATGAGGTCCTGTGTATGAAGAAAAGAACTGGCCAGATACCTTCCAGGGAACAGATTTGGTACTTCTGCTGCTCTTACTCTTCCAACAGGCCTGCACAGCTTGCCTTAATGCCTCAGTCACCTACCCAGGCAGAAAACCACATGAGCTACTGTGTAAGGGACTTCCCCAACACCTGGTATCCTTGTCGCACACAAACACCACACATACACACGTAGGATTCCAAGCCTCACCTGAGCCTGGGATCTAAGAATAGTACCTTATCCCAGAGAGAAGATGTGCTATGGGCCTCAACCCAATTCAGTCTCTCTGGGACAATAGGAGTCTCTAGAGCCCAAGGCTGTTGAACTTGGGCTCTTGATTGGGGAAGCAAGTGATGAGGAGAAATCCAAGTCCCAGTCAGGTCTCCTGCTGAGTAAATAAGGAACAAGTGCAAGACTTGGGGGAGAGGGAGGCGCGGATTAAGAGGACACAGATGTTTGTTCAAGAAAGGATATAGTTGGCCCTGGTCGATTTTGCTCAGCGGTTAGAGTCAGCCTGCAGTCCAGAGAGGCCCGGGTTCGGGTTCCGCTAAGGGAACGTACCTGTACCTCGGTTGCAGTTTGTCCCTGGCCCTGGTTGGGTCGTGCAGGAGGCAGCCACTCAATGTGTCCCTTTCACGTCAATGTCTCTCTCTCTCTCTCTCTCTTCCTCTCTCTCCCTCCCACTCTGTCTGAACAAAAAAATGGGAAAATGTCCTGGTGGGGGAGAGAGAGAGAGAGAGAGAGAGAGAGAAAGAGAGAGAGAGAGAGAGAGAGAGAGAGAGAGAGAGAGAGGGAGAGGAAGGATATAGTTGGACACTTGGAAGGAATAGTGGATGGTACAGGCACTGGTAAAGAAAGATCCTGAAGGGGTAGAAAAAGGGACAATACTTACCAGCAGCAGAGACGCCAAGGTGATCCAACCGCTGCTACAAAAGAAACACGTGCATGTTCAATGAGATCTGTCAGAGTCCTTTAATCCACACTCCTAAACACCGGGCCTTACTTCCCGTACCTTAATCCTGGCCACATTTCTGTCAGTAGCACTGAGAAATGCGTCCCGCTGCTCAGACCAGCTCAGGCCTGCGGCAGGGGGTCTGTCTCCCTGGCGTCTTGTGCCCTTGCTCTCCCAGCAAGGGGCAACCGACGTACAGCCCAGGAAAGACCACAACGTCAGGTTAAAAGAAAGAATACTAAGGGTAGGGGTGCAATATCAGGCCAAAACTGCGCCTCTGGGACTAGTCAGGGAAGAGGCGTTCTTGGGGGACTGGGGGAAAACGAGGATACCCTGATATGCACATATCAGTAAGTAGTTTATGGTGCGAACCTTGGTCGAGACCTCCCCAGACACAGGATATAGGCGCCATCACGCTGATTCTATCCCAGCTACTACTGCCGCTGCAGAGTTCAAAACCTCCGGTAGGCCTGGAAAGTCTAACTTTGGACTGGCTGCCGCAGCGCCACTTGGGAAACTGAGTTCGTTTCCCGCAGAGACAACTCGCGATGGAGGCTACCGAACTACGTTTCCCTGGAGACAATACGTGTATGCACACCCTCACCGTGAAGCTTGCTGGAAAAACGAGTCTTCCTGATTCTGTAGTGGTTGTTTCCAAGGACCAAATGAACTACGTATCCCAGGATGCATGGCGCAGGGTCAACTGTGTCCCGCCACGGGTCCCACAAGTTCTTGGGAAATGGAGTCCAAGCTACCCTGAAAATCAACGGCCCAGGTTATCCGTGAGACTCCATTCCCCAGCAAGCTCAGCGTGTAGCGTGCAGTATGGAGCCGCAAGTCGCAGAGCTGAAGAAGAAGATTGAGGACACGTTGTGCCCTTTTGGCTTCGAGGTTTACCCCTTCCAGGTTGGTTTCTCTCTCCTGTAGTGCTAGGGTGAGGTATATGATTGGCCTCGGTGCTACCGGCGTAGGCTGGAAGCCTTCTGGTCCTTCCAGAGCTCCTCTGGTCCCGTGTCCATATGACCTACCCGGACAGAATGTAACCGGGGCTTGGAAGGGAGGAGCTGTCGCACGTCCGTCCTTTTACCCGCTATGCCAGACTAAGAGACACTATATGATCCAGTAACCTTGTGGTTCTGTCACTTACATAATCTACGGAAAGAAAGGCACCCTTGGGGTCAGAGTCACCTTGGAAGCTTCCTGATGGAGTTAGGAGAGGGCAAGTCCAGGAAGGTTTGCATAACTAGGATTTAGGTCATTTGAGAAGGGAAAGGCATTCCTGGTGTTGAACAAGCAAATAACTTGCTGGTTTGTTCCATCCACCAACAGAAGGATAATTCATAATGTTGTCAATCACCAGCACTGGGCTGGGTATAGAAACTACACCCGACTGACACACAAATCTGGCACCACAGCCTTCCCGTTTACATTAAGTCCATTTACTCCTTATCCAGTGCCCCCTCCACTGAGCTGTATACTTAGACACAAAGCTAAATCAGCTCAGCTGAACCCTTTGCCTGATGTTTAAGAGACAGCCCACTCACCCCTTCCACTGAGTGGCCCACAGCAGTGCTGGGAAAAAATATGGAGGAAGGAGTAGGTTGGGACTAGTTTGAGAGAGAACTTTCCAGAAAAAATGGAGTTGAGGTGTTTTTTGTTTTTTTGTTTTAATTCTCACCTGAGGACATTTTTTTTTTTTTTTTTCATTTTTTGTTTAGATAGAATGGGAGGGAGAGAGGGGAAGAAAGAGAGAGAAACATCGACGTGAAAAGTACCCATCAAGTGGCTGCCACCCGCACAACCCAACCGAGGCCAGGGATAAACTGCAACTGCGATACGTGACCTTAGCAGGAACCGAACCCGGGTCTCTCTGAGTTGAGTTTTATATGAAAAGATAGATTGGAAGAAAGGAGGGTTATATACATCCCAAATATGAGGAACAGCTTGAGTGAAGGAAGTGGTGGATAGCAGGTATGGGGGACAGTAAAGATGCCCATGTGGTAGATCAGGTGGACTTGGGTAGTTGAAGCTGTTGTACTGAAGCCCTGCTAGTCATTCTAGGCTCCTAGTTCACTCACCTCCCCATTGCCCCATCCAGTCAGCCACCAGGACCTGTCTCCTGAATTTCCCAAATCCATTTTCTTCCATCCAACACATCTATGCTCTGGTCCAGGCCATTTCTCATTTGAATTTACTGCAATAGCCTCCTTGCTGTCATTTTGCCTCCAATCCATCCTCCACACTGCAGCCAGATTGATCTTTCTAAAAACTGATCATGTCAGTTTACTCAAGTCTTCAGTAGCCCTGCATTATTACTAAATTAGACCCATCTTCCTTAATTGGTATCCTTTGTTTTTTTATCCTCACCCTAGGACATTTTTCCATTTTTTGTTCAGATAGGGTGGGAGGGAGAGAGAGAGAGAAACATCAGTGTGAAAAGGGCACATGGAGTGTCCGCCTCCCACACAGGGCCGGGGACAAACCGCAACCGAGGCACATGTCCCCAGCGGGAACCATTCTCTCTGGTCCATGGGCTGATGCTCTAACTGCTGAGCCAAACCGGCCAGGGTTTAATTGGTATTCTTGAATACCAGTCACAATCTCACTCACTCCTACTGATCTCTACAGCCTTCTCTCCCTCTGCTGACCCCTATAGATCCTTCATTTCTGTTTTTTGGGGATTTTTTTTGTTGTTTTTTTTGGTGTGTGCCCCTAGCAGGAACTGAACCCAGGACTCTCTGGTACACAGGCTGATGCTCCAACCGCTGAGCCAAACCGGCCATAAACCCTTCATTTCTATCAAACTAGACAATTTGTTATTCTCCAAATATGTACTGTGCTTTTGACCTCACTGTTTATGCTGTCACCTCCGTTTAGAATACACACCAGATTCTCCCTCTCCACATCAACCTGTCACCTTCCCTCCCAGTCTTTTTTTTAATCCTCACCCAAGCACATTTTTCCATTTTTTTTGTTCAGATAGAGTGAGAGGAAGAGAGAGAGAAAAACATCAACGTGAAAGGGACAGCTCTCGCATGACCCAACCAGGGCCAGGGACAAACTGCAACCGAGGTACGTGCCCTTCGCGGGAACCGAACCCAGGTCTCTCTGGATCGCAGGCCGATGCTCTAACCACTGAGAAAAACTGGCCAGGGCCCAAGAAGCCTTTTCTTTTTTTTCACATTATTTTTATTTTATTTTATTTTATTTTTTTATCCTCACCCGAGGATATTTTTCCATTTTTTGTACAGATAGAGTGGGAGGGAGAGAGAGGAAGGGAGAGAGCGAAACATCGATGTGAAGGGACACATCGAGTGGCTGCCACCCGCACGACCAACCAGGGCCGGGGACAAACTGCAACCGAAGTACGTGCCCTTAGCGGGAACCGAACCCGGGTCTCTCCGGACCGCAGGCCGACGCTCTAACTGCTGAGCCAAACTGGCCAGGGCCCAAGAAGCCTTTTCTAATTTTAGGGGACTTTCACCTGGCTCTGTCATTGCACCAATCACAGTTCAATCAATTTCTTTTTGTTCCTAGTTGTTCGTGAAATATCTGCCTCTCTATTCTAAACTCCCTGTCAAATTCAAGCAAGTATCCCCGTAAATACACATAACAGAGCATCAGTAGAAGTTCAGTGGTTGATTCCTGGCCGGTTTGGCCCAGTGGTTACAGCCTCGGGCCATGGATGAAAGAGTCACAGGTTCAATTCCTGGTCAAGGGCATGTACTTGAGTTGCAAGTTCAATCTCCAGCCCTGGTTGGGGTTGTGTGGGAGGCAACCAATTGATGTGTCTCATCGATATTTCTCTCTCCCTCCCTCCCTTCCACTCTATCTGAAAAGAATCAATGGAAATATATCCTCACGTGATTACCAAAAACAAAACAAAAAGGAAATGATTGAGTGAATGAGATGGAGGCTGGAGCAAGATATATGAGGCCTTGAATGCCAAGTTAAGGTATGAATTTTCTCTGTTCCAGGTGGCATGGTACAATGCACTCCTACCTCCAGTCTTCCACCTGCCCCTGCCAGGACCTACCCTGGCCTTCCTGGTACTCAGCACACCTGCTATGTTTGACCGGGCCCTCAAACCCTTCCTGCAGAGCTGCTGCCTCCAACCACTGACTGACCCTGTGGACCAATGTGTAGCCTACCACCTGGGCCGTGTTAGAGAGGTGAGCAATTTTCATATCCTCCCCTAGCTTCAAAATCTGCAACTGCTTCAAGCTCCTCCAAGCTCAATGCAGGATCTAGACCTCTCCATAGGGTTAAGAGTCACTTTCCAGGTAGGATGATATCCTAAAGCCAGCCTTGACATTGTGATCTCTCCCCATTCTGCCTTCTCAGTCCAGGTTTGGCCACCTTCCCCTAGCAGGCCCTCTAGGTCTGAAATCCATCTCACTCACCCTACACCAATGGGTGACTATATGAACCTGAGACTAGATTTCCTTTGACCTCCAAATGAAATAGAAATAAGCCCAATATCTCCAAGGCATCTCTCACCTGTCTTTGCCCTTGGAAGCTTTATGCTGTCTTGGGGCCTTTTGAGGACAAAATATTTCCCCACCACACACTCATATGTACATACTTACATACATTGAGTCTCCCATGTCTTCCTCCACACTGCAACTCTGGAGGGCAGAGTCAAGTTACCCCTCATAATGGAGGTTTCTGAACAAGACCTTCAAACATGGGCCCTCCTGGACAGAATATCATTTTCTTCACACTGGGACACCTCCCCCAGTTTCCCTTCAAACATAACTTCTAAGGACAGGACCTTGTTAATACAAATCAGGGATGTTTAAGGAAAGGTCAGGATTCCTCTTATGCTAAAGCCTCCATCTTGTCCTCCACCCCAGAGCCTCCCAGAGCTGCAGATGGAAGTTATCGCTGACTATGAGGTACACCCCAACCGGCGCCCCAAGATTCTGGCCCAGACGGCAGCACATGTGGCAGGGGCTGCTTACTACTACCAACGACACGATGTAGAGGCTGACCCCTGGGGGACCCAGGTCAGAGGACAAGTATGAATGACTAGACACTAAGAAAATAGTGAAGCCTCATTCTTCCTCTTCCCATGGGTAAAGGAGTTTGTACACAACCCAGGACAAAGGTATTCCCTGCCCAGGGGTCCAGCCCCATGTGCTTTCTGGTCCCACCTGGGGACAGGTCAGAGAACCTAGTCGGTAAAACCGTTACAGAATGGAGGGGACAGAGCAGTGATTAGATCAGTGGTGAGGCTTTGAAGTTGAGGCTCAGCTTAAGAAACCCTCATGGCTAGTGAGCTCATGAAAAGGGCTGTCCAGGTGAAATGAGGGAGCTCAGCTACAAGAGTGACAGAGGCTCACATGTGGAATCAGTATCCATTGAGAATAAGTGAATAAGCCTAGTTGCAGTGATAGTAGTTGAATTTGGTGCCACAATGATGTCTATGACCTTGCTTTTCTTTACCCTCTCCCCAGCATATATCAGGTGTGTGCATACATCCCCGATTTGGGGGCTGGTTTGCCATCCGAGGCGTAGTGCTGCTGCCAGGAATAGAGGTGCCACATCTGCTGCCCACTAAACCCCTCGACTGTGTACCAAGAAGAACTGACCGAATCGCTTTGCTTGAAAGCTTCAACTTTCATTGGCGTGACTGGGCTTACAGGGATGCTGTGATACCTGAGGAACGCTACTCAGAAGAACAGAAGGCCTACTTTTCCAGTCCACCTGCTCAACGCTTGGCCTTGTTGGGCTTGGCCCAACCCTCAGAGGAGCCTAGCTCTGCATCCCCTGAGCTTCTCTTTACCACACTCATACCTAAGCCCCAGAATCTCAGCAGAGTCAAGGGATGGCTAAGCCCCAAGGTCTCACCACCTGCATCCCCTGACCCTTGATACCCTCCTCCCTGTGGGATCCTTATTTATACCAATGGTACCTGCTAAGACTTGGCTTTGGCAAGGCAAGGTTTTATTTTGGGTAAAAGATAATTACTTTTGATAAAAGCATTATAGTAGAGATCTTCAATGAAGACAAGGTTCAGAGAAGTTTGATCAAGACAACAAGAAATTAAAGACCAAGAAATCAGTGTTAGTTAATATTTCTATAGAAAAAAAGACCAAGGCAGATACTGAATTCCCACTTGCCTTGGAATATGGAATCACTGCCTGTTACCATTGCTCTGCAGTGCTGGAAGATGCTACTTGTTACAAGGACAAAGGGGTCTTTATTACCTGTTAGCATTTCTCTACAGTGCTCCAAGATGCTATCTGATATGTACTTTTGATTCTTAAAGTTCTATCTTCTAAATAATGGTATAAATAAATAATGTCTCATAGTGTTGTGTGGACTGAATACACATAAAACATTTCTGAACAGAGCCTCGCACACAGTAAGAAGTGTTTGAGCCTCGCACACAGTAAGAAGTGTACCGGCTGTTCTTTTTGTTTTGTTTTGTTTTTCATCCTCACCTGAGGACATTTTTCCATTTTTTGTACAGATAGAGTGGGAGGGAGAGAGAGAGAGAGAGAAACATCGATGTGAAAGGGACACATCGAGTGACTGCCACCCGCACGACCAACCAGGGCCAGGGACAAACTGCAACCGAGGTACATGCCCTTAGCGGGAACCGAACCCGGGTCTCTCCGGACCACAGGCCGACGCTCTAACCACTGAGCCAAACCGGCCAGGGCGTATCACCTGTTCTTGAAGGCCCTGGGAATTCTGTACTGCTACTCACGTATCTTGCTGTCCGAATACTGGAGGGATAAGTAGGCTGGGGTAGCTGATAAAAGCTAGAACCCAAGGAAGGTGAGAGTGTTCAACCCTGTGCTTTTGATTCTGAAAGTTCTATCTTACAAATACCAGCCTTGTATTTGTCTTCCCTTTTCAGTTACAGAGTCTCTAATGCAAAGTTTACAGACTCAATAGCAGGTTTTCATCAGAAAAAGACAACCTTGTCCAGAGTGGGTGGCCCAGTTGGTTGGAGCATCATCCTATACACCACAAGGTTGAGGGTTTGATTCCCAGTCAGGGCACATACCTAGGCTGCAGGTTTGTTCCCCACTCAGGATGTACAGGGGCAACCAATCAATCTTTCTCACATTAATGACTCCATTCCACTCTCTCTGAAAATCAATAAAAATACATCCTTAGGTAGGGATTAAAAAAAAAAGTCAAGCCCTGGCCGGTTTGGCTCAGCGGTTAGAGCGTTGGCCTGCGGTCCGGAGAGACCAGGGTTCGGTTCCCGCTAAGAGCATGTACTTCGGTTGCAGCTTGTCCCCGGCCCTGGTTGGTCGTGCGGGTGGCAGCCACTCGATGTGTCCCTTTCGTGTCGATGTTTCTCTCTCTCTCTCTCTCTCCCTCCCACTCTGTCTGTACAAAAATTGGAAGAATGCCCTCAGGTGAGGATAAAAAAAAAAAAAGTCAATCCTCCTGGCTGGTTTGGCTCAGTGGTTAGAGTGTCAGCCCGCAGACCAAAGAATCACAGGTTCGATTCTGATCAAGGGCACGTACCTTGGTTGCAGTTTGGTCCCCGGCCCTAGTCGTGCGGGAGGCAACCAGTTGATGTGTCTCACTCACATTGATGTTTCTCTCTCCCACCACCCTAGGATAACATCAGAGAGGTCTTGCTCTTCTTTACAGAATGTTAGCATGTTTGTTCAGTTCCATTCTTCCATTCCCTGTGTCTACTTGCATTTCTCCTCTATGATTTCCTGATTCTGAAGCAGCTCTTCTCATTTTCCCATAAGGAAGGAAAGGAAAGAATAAATCAAAGACTAATGCCCCCTAAAATGAAGAAACAACAAGCTCTCAGTTAAAGTTTAATAGAAACTACTAAAGATCAAAGGTGATGTCCCACTACTGTACACATCAGTTGGCTTGCTCCATAAGTTCAGATTACTTCCTCCAGATGAAGAAAAGCTGACCTCCCAAAACCCTACATAAAAGGCCACACCTAAGCTAAGTCTAAGAGCTCATGTTTTAAGCATGACAATAGTAAAAGAGGTTTTGTTCTTAAGGCTGTACACTGCCTCATAACCCTATAATGGCCCAGTGCTCACTTCTGCTTAGAGAAATATTCTTTGCTCTTCTGGACATCCGGCTTGATGGTATCACTGCCAGGTTTCCAGCCAGCTGGGCACACTGCAAGAGAAAGTTACCATTATTTAATAATTTGCTCAGTGGTGAGTACCTATGGCCCAAAGGACCTGAAACACTCAAACACCAAGAAACCTAACCTACAGTGTAGGATCATTCAGCCTTTTACTGCAAGGCTAAAAATAAACATGCAACTTAATCTTCATCAGAGCCCTATTACTATTATACCTACTTGATTCATTCAGCACCTGAAATTCAATTTTAAATTAAGCAACAGCTTCAACCATGTGTTTTGTTCTGAGAATGTGTCTAAAGCATGTAAGACAAGACTCGTTAACAGTAGGTAGTAGGTAAATGCGTATTCATGTTTTCTATAATTGTATGTACGCTTCAAATACATCTTTTAAAAAATAAGCTTAGCCCTGGCCAGTTTGGCTCAGCGGTTAGAGCATTGGCCTGTGGTCTAGAGACCCAGGTTTGGTTCCCGCTAAGGGCACGTACCTCGGTTGCAGTTTGACCCTGGCCCTGGTTGGGTCGTGCAGGTGGCAACCACTTGATGTGTCCCTTTCACATCCATGTTTCTCTCTCTCTCTCTCTCCCTCCCACTCTATCTGAACAAAAAATGGAAAAATGTCCTCGGGCAAAGATAAAAAATAAATAAATAAATAAATAAGTTTAAATGCTCTTAAAAAAAAAAAAATGGTGCTGGGACAGCTGTACCTCCATAGTAAAAGAATGACACTAGAGCCCTGGCCGGTTTGGCTCAGCGGTTAGAGCGTCGGCCTGCGGTCCGGAGAGACCCGGGTTCGGTTCCCGCTAAGGGCACGTACTTCGGTTGCAGTTTGTCCCCGGTCCTGGTTGGTCGTGCGGGTGGCAGCCACTCGATGTGTCCCTTCACGTCGATGTTTCTCTCTCTCTCTTCCTTCCTCTCTCTCTCCCTCCCACTCTATCTGTACAAAAAAAAAAATGGAAAATATCCTCGGGTGAGGATAAAAAAAAAAAAGAATGACACTAGACCCCTAACTTACAGAAAAATAACTCAAAACAATAAATGACCACCCTGACCAAGTATCTCTGTTGGTTGCAGTGTCATCCCAACATGCCAAGGGTGCAGAGTCAATCCCCGGTCATGGAACACACAAAAATCAACCAATGAATTCAAAAATCAGTGGAAAGCAAATCACCTTTCTCTCCCTCTCTGATGGTCAACCTTTTTTTTTTAAATCCTCACCTGAGGACACTTTTGCCAACTGTGACAACATGAATGGAATTAGAGGGTATTATGCTAAATGAAATCAAGTAAGTCAGAGAAAGACAAATACCATTATGATTTCACTTGTATGTGAACAAAATAAACAAACGAACAAAACTGAAATATTCAGATACAGAGAACAGACTGGTGGTTGCCGAGGGGAGAGGGAATGGGGACTGGGTGAAAAGGGTGAAATGACTAAGAAGTACAAATTGCCTGGCCGGCGGGGCTCAGTATGACTCTAAAATCAATAAAGAAAAATATATATATATATATATATATATTTTCAAAACAGTCATGGGGATGTAAAGCATAGGAAATATAGTCAATAATATTGTAAAAACTGTGTATGGTGCCAGGTGGGTACTGGAAATATTGGGGGAACACTTTGTAAGTTATGAGATTATCTTACTACTATGCAGTACACCTGAAACTAATACAAAACAATATTGAATGTTAACCATAACTGAAAAAATATTTTTCAAAATGTGAAAGTCGCCCTGGCTGGGTAGCTCAGCTGATTAGAGTACTGTCCTGATATGCCAAGGTTGTGGGTTCAGTCCCTGTCAGGACACATACAAAAATCAACCAATGAATGCATGAATAAGTGGAACAACTAATTGATGTATCTTTCTCTCTCTCTACCTCCCTTCCTCTCTCTAAAATCAATAAGGAAAAAAAAAATTGGCTCCGGCCGGTGTGGCTCAGTGGATTGAGCATCGTCCCATGCACTGTTGAGGTCCCAGTTCAATTTCCAGTCAGGGCACATACCCAGGTTAGAGGCTCAATCCCTAGTTGGGGGTCGTGCAGGAGGTAGCTGATCAATGTTTTTCTTTTTTTGTCAGACTCAGCTGCCATTACTCTCCTGAAACCCCCATTTGATTGTTACACAATCACTGTCTTTAATGGCACCAAAGGGTTAAAACACAGGTCCTATTCATAAACAAGCTACAGAGAACAAAGAGCAGCATGAAAGCAAAGACCAGGCCACTGGCAGCCAAAAATTTGGCAGTGGGCTAACAGGACATCAAAAAGATTCTTTTGTCTAGGAAGACAACATAAAGCTTTAGAAGAACAACCCAAATACAATGACACAAAGACAGGAGGAATAATGAACCAGCATAGAGAGACCTTAACATCTTAGTCTCCTTGGCACTAAAGCCTCATGGCACTGAAGGCCATACCAATAAATCAGAAAGATCCACGCTTGGATGTTTCACTCAAATCCAAGTTTTGGTTTTTCAAAATTAATATGGAATCCAGCAGAATTGGTTGAGTACCACATAAACCAGCTTTCAAACACAGCTGGAAGTACCTGACTCTCCAAGGAGAAAATGACACCAATCATGGTAATCTCAGTATGAGAGAACTTCCCCAACATAGAAGAACCCAACACAAAAGGCCCCACACATCACTTTTCAACTTTTTATAATTACCTAAAAAAATGGCTTGGCATTTTTATTCTAATATTTTACTATGTATACTATGTACTGTGTTTAAGTATTGGTTTATTGGTCCTTAAAAACAGGATTGTATCAAAAATAAGGGGAAAAAACCAAACAGGAATGTAGAATATATAAATACAAATCATATCGCACACTTGAAACTGTTATGTCAATTAAATCTCAGGAAAAAACAGGAAGGTAGAGTTATCTGTCAAACAACACATGTGCCCTGGCCAGTTTGGCTCTGCGTTTAGAGCGTCTGCCTGCGGTCCAGAGGAACCCGGGTTTGGTTTCGACTAAGGGTACATACCTCGGTTGCAGTTTGTCCCCAGCCCTGGCTGGGTCATTCGGGTGGCAGCCACTCAATGTGTCCCTTTCATGTCGATGTTTCTCTCTCCCCCTCCCACTCTATCTGAACAAAATATCAAAAAGTGTCCTCGGGTGAGGATTAAAAAAACAACAACAAAAAACAGTCTAGCCTACATGCAAGGTCCTTTCCCAAAATCCAGTAAAGGGCTAATTTTGCCCACCCTCCTGTCTTTATGTTGAACCTCATCCCCCACCAGGGGGCAGTCTCAGTAACTGTCTGCTGCTTCAATCTACCCCCACAGGAACTTCTGCAAATGGTGCCTTCTGATATCAGTGCTCACAGACCCATCTTGGCCTTCCACTAGAGCCAAGTTTCATTTTTGGGTTCCCCAAACAGACGACACTAATCCAAACTAAAACTTCCATCTTCTTTAATCACAGTATCAGAATTGAATGCACCTTAGAAAGCTAGTTTGAAATATTTAACTTCTAGAAAAAATGAAATATAGTAAAAAAAAATTGTCCAAGTCCACCTGTGCACTTGATCCGTTGACAGTAGCACTTAATCACAACTATCTTGTTCTCAACTACATTAAGTTGGGGGTGGGGAGGTTCAAGGTCCTCTTCCCTGCATACCCAGCATGTGCAGACTCAGGAGCCGAGTCCTTAAAACAAACAGTTGGGATAAGGTTATTTCATTCCAGCAACAACTGCACTTGGTGGGGGTTGGGGGAGGGGTAAAAAGGCTACAGCCTTACAAATTTGAAAGCTGGGATCAAGTAGTTCACTACTTGCAATCAGAGTATTTAAGGAGAGAAGTACTAGTGCTGGAGCAATTAAAAAAAAAAAAAGGGCCTATACTCTTAGCAAATGCCAGATTAAAAATCTTAAATTGAATCTGCTCAGCCATGTTTAGATTTTACAATGTCAAACTCACACATGCATCTCTGATCCTGAAAATTCTAAATGAAGAACCTTGATATTTCATTTGAAATCCTCTAACTCTAACCTCTCCTCAAATATACATATATATATATATATATATGTTTTTTTAAAGTAGGCTTTTTTTTTTTTTATCCTCACCTGAGGACATTTTTCCATTTTTTGTTCAGGCAGAGTGGGAAGGAGAGAGAGGAACAGAGAGAGAGAAACATAGATGTGAAAGGGACATATCGAGTGGCTGCCACCCGCATGACCAACCAGGGCCGGGGACAAACTGCAACTGAGGTACGCGCCCTTAGCGGAAACCGAACCCAGGTCTCTCGGGACCGCAGGCCGATGCTCCAACCGCTGAACCAAACTGGCCAGTGCCAAATATATTTTTGAAAGACAGAAATGTATTAGCTGGATCTGCCTATTATTGTCTTTGGTTAAGTTGTCTTAGTCCTTTTATTTTCCAAATCTCAAAACCAGTCATATAGTACCTTTATTTTTTTAAAATCCCAATAAAAGAGCGCTGGTCAGTGTGGCGCTCGTTGGTCAAGTGTCATCCCATGCACCTACAGGTCACTGGCCTGATTCCAGGTCAGGGCACAAGCCAGGGTTTCAGGGTCAATCCCCAGCAGGGGGGTGTGCAGAAAGCAGCCAATGGATGTTTCTCTGTCCCCTTCTCCCTTCCTCTCTCTCTAAAATCAACAAAAACATACTGAAAACCAAAAACAAAACATTAAAACAAATACAGACTACAGGGATTAACTCTTCTCCCAATAAACACTTGTCAAGAAGGGCACACTTTCTCTCTAGATGTGATTCTCAACCTTTCATTTCACCCTTATACACCTATGAGATCCTCTTATACTTCTCTAATTAAATCTGCAGCAGTGAGTAATTCAAAATGAGCAGGGTGGAAGCTGGGAATATGCAGTTGGAATAAAAAGCCTTTATATTCTCCTCCCCCAGCTTTTCTAATACCCCACCCCCACAACCTACTATAATCCAGACTCCTCAATTTCTTGAAGAGACATAATCAACATTCCTCATTTGGTAGACTTTGTTCCTTTCCCACCTGACCACCACTGTGTTGTCTTGCCATCAAGTACAATGAATTACCTTCCCCATGTTTGTCAGTAAACTGGAAAGCCTGAACTAGTCTCAGAGTTTCATCCACAGAGCGGCCAACAGGAAGGTCGTTTACGGTGATCTGGCGGAGGATACCTTTATCATCAATGATAAAAAGGCCCCTGGAAAGAAAAGATTGAAGGTTTGAGGAAGAGGCAACACCGGTTTAAATACTGAGTTGTTAAGCAGTTGGTTAGAGCATTGTCCCAATATGCCAAGATTTCAGGTTTGATACCTGGTCAGGGCACATACAAGGAGCAACCAATAAATGTATAAATAAGTGGAACAACAAATCTCTATTTCTCTCTAAAATCAATCAGTAAATTTTCAAAAATTAAAAACTGGTTTGTTAGAATAAAGAAGCAATGGAGCCCTGGCCAATTTGGCTCAGAGTTAGAGCATCAGCCCGTGGACCAAAGGGTCTTGGGTCCAATTCCCAGTCAAGGACATGTTCCTGGGTTACATGTTTGAACCCTAACCGGGATCATTTGGGAGGCAACCAATAGATGTGTCGCTCACACTGATGTTTCTTCTCTCTCTCTTCCTCTCCCTCCCTCCCTCCCACTCTATCTAAAAATCAGTGGAGCCCTGGCCGGTTTGGCTCAGCAGTTAGAGGTTTAGCTGAGCTAGTTCAGCGGTTAGAGCGTCAGAGAGACCCAGGTTCGGTTCCCGCTTGGGATACGTACCTTGGTTGCAGTTTGTCCCCGGCCCTGGTTGGGTCATGCGGGTGGCAGCCATTCGATGTGTCCCTTTCACATCGATGTTCTCTCTCTCTTTTCTCTCTCTCTCCCACTCTACCTGAACAAAAAATGGAAAAAATGTCCTCGGGTGAGGATAAAAAAATAATAATAAAATAAAATATTTTTAAAAAGAAGTAAAGGAAATGAGGAAATGAGCTCAGACTTGTACAGGCCTTGCCCTTAATGAGAATGCCCCTGCATAAAGAATGAAATAAGACCATCATACTTTATACCTTAAATTTAATACAATGATGTATATCAATTATTTCTTAACAAAACTGATTTAAACTATGAAATGAGAAAGGAGTCTGTACAGATCAGGGCTTTACCTATCTCTGAATGAAAGGTCCTCAGCCAATCATATTGATCCTGATGAATGTCAGCCCCCCAACACCACCCCAGTGCAGGTATATACCTAAATGAGATGCCTTCATCAGCCTTTAAGACCCCATAGTCCTGAGCAATGGTGCGCTTGGGGTCTGATACCAAGGGAATGTTCATGGGTCCCAGTCCTCCTTGTTTCTTGGGTGTGTTGATCCTATAGCAAAAGGCACACATATAAATCACATTCGTTCAAACTCTTGTGTAGCAAACACATTAACTGTATCTATACCCTCCCCCTTTCCAACATTCCTAACCTCACTTCCCCCAAAACTTCAAACTTTTTCCAGCAGTAAAGTGAATGGCTAAGGACAGTTATTTAAGATCACCAGGGTATACTCAGCTGCAATCCAAGCTCCTTCTCCTCTGCTGCCAAGTAATAAGAAAGCAACAAGAGGAAGTCAGGGCCTTTATACTCCTTCCATGAAGAACCTTGAGAAAAATCTATTGCCAAAGCCTTCAAGTCCCAGTTCCTGCTTGAAAAGTCCACATGCCAAATGGACAAACAGATTTACCATGCCAGGTGACAGAAGTGAGAATCCACAGAAGCACCAATTACTTGGCAGTTGAGTTTCTTAAATTCTTCTGCCCTATCACTGAAAGCAATGATCTCCGTGGGGCACACAAAGGTAAAGTCAAGAGGGTAAAAGAAGAACACCACATATTTTCCTGGAAAAAAAATAAGAAAGAGCCCCAAGTTAACCTTTAAAACAGACATCCTTACTTTATACAGAATAGAAAACTAAATGGATATTCCTATGGGAAAAAAAAGCCTTTTTAAGTTGATGCCAGACATAATTGCTAGATGCCAAGATGCTCAAACACAGATGTTTCCTGGCAGCTACTTTCAGAACCTCTTGCAAAAGGACCTGGATGAAAAAAAAGCTCCCTTCAGTCCATGCTTTATTTTTCTGCCTCCATATTAGCTGCCAACTACAGATCAAACACTGTTCAGTCTAATTTCGATCTTTTCTGGGTAGTTAAAATTAGCACAGACGTGTTCTCCAAGGAACAAAAGCAAGAATGCAGTTATGTACTGGATAGCTCAATGCCAATGCTTACAATCAGTACCCAATAAAAAGCTGAAATGCTGAATTATCTGCTGCAGGGTAGTAAGAGACCAACAAGAGGAAATCCAAGCCGTTGTTGCACTTCTTTTACAATGAACCACAATAATGGAACAGGTAAGGTTTAAGTGATCACCTGAAGCATCACAAATATGTTCCTAACAAGCCTCATAAGAAAAATTTTATATGGCAAACATTCCAAAAATCCTAGTAGGAAACAGGACTTTCTGGTTGGAATTTTACTAAAATCACTCAGATTATAGGTTGAGAAGAACTTCCACTGGCCAGGTAGCCTCTCACACCTAATGAGCTGAACTATTAGAACAGTTCCAAATACTAACATACTTCTAGGCAGCAACAATGTTTGAGAGTCAAAAGAAGTTGTTCCTTTGACATTCACTTTGAAAATTAGAATCACTAGAAAATCCTTCAAGAACCTCTCCAGGGGTTTCCCTAAAAAGCACTTTGAAGCCTCAGCAGGTCAAGCCCTAGAAGGCAGAGAGCAGCCCTTCCTAAATGTCCTGCCCTTATCCTTGGGCCAGGGTCACCTCCCTATGATCCTACTTACCTTGTTTGCCAGAAGCTTCCCTTCATAGGGTCCCACTAACCTGCTATCATTCCAATCAACAAATGTGTTAGGAAACCTAATTACATATTCTACCTAAAGCTGACTACAGGAACTGATTACTACTCATCACTAAAAAAGTATATTTGACACGAGTTTGAGGTTTGCATTCAATTGTGCCAGAAGACCCAGCTCCTCCCAACTGTGAGGTAAAGGAGAGTCTTATTAGAACTTGACAAGTGTCTGCATGAAGCTTTACCAGAAAGGAGAGCTGTTCCAACAATGACATCAAATCTCCTCTGAGGGCAAGACAATCAAGGGAATTTGCCTACACCCTCTAACAATAAATACAGTAACTATGACGCATATTTCATAAACTGAATAAGCAGTGTCACAGCTCCAAATACAAGCTCTGAGACTATAAATTGTTGAAGACCTCTTACAGTGAAACAGAGACTGAGATAATAAGACTATCTCCAATAATACAATTGAGGAGTACTGACAAGATAACTGAGTTAATATATTAGTTCAGGCATAATGAAGCATGTGCTTTCTCCAGAATAGTCTGGACCTAGGATAACTACCGTTATAACTGTTGATAATCACCACTTCACTTCAATTTAAAGGCAACAGCCTACCACCCTAAACACCTTGATCTAGGAGACATAAATCATTTTACAGTCAAACATCCGGAGATACAAAAATTGAAGAAGTCATCCCTAGATAGCAAAATAGTTGCATTTCAATGAACCTAAATGAAATGCAACTACTCTTACCTTTGTAGTCAGATAGGCTGATATCTTTGAACTGACCATCTGGCATAACTGCTGTGGCTTTGAAGTTCGGAGCAGGGTGACCAATTTTAGCATGTCCTGAAGACATCTTGCTATTAGCTGGAAAAGATAAAAAAGGAAATAATTTTTTTTTTTTTTTTTAATCCTCACCTGAGGACACTTTTTGCATTCATAGAGCGAGAGGGAGAGAGGGAGGAAGAGAGAAAGAGAAACATCGATGTGAGAGAGACACATCGAGTGGTCGCCACCCACACAACCGCAACTGGGGCCGGGGACAAACTGCAACAGAGGTACGTCCCCTTAGCGAGAACCGAACCCGGGTCTCTCTAGACCGTGAGCCGATGCTTCAACCGCTGAGCCAAACCGGCCAGGGCAGGAAATAAGTTTTTAACAAGTCTTCTTTTCCTAGATAACCAGTACCCTTCATCAACTTAGACTGAGCTGTGGAACAATAAAGGATTTGTCTGGTGGCCCTGTGTACTTTTATATTAGTTAAGAAGCATAAGCTTGCCCTGGCCGGTTTGGCTCAGCGGTTAGAGCATAGGCCTACGGTCCAGAGAGACCTGGGTTCGGTCCCGCTAAGGGCACATACCTTGGTTGCAGTTTCTCCCCCACCCTGGTTGGGTCATGAGGGTGGTAACCACTCGATGTGTCCCTTTCACGTAGATGTTTCTCTCTCTCTCTCCCTCCTACTCTATCTGAACAAAATATGGGAAAAAAAAGTCCTCTGGTGAGGATAAAAAAAGAAGCATAAGCTTATCTTTCTAATTTTTGAAACAAAACCAGGTATCACACATCTCTGAATATCAGCTTTTGTTTTCATTTAAAAATAGCAATTCCTTTATAAATTGAAGTAACCTCTATTACTTTTTCTGAACCATCATTTGTGAAATGGCATTTTCCTCACACAAAAACAAAAGGGGGGGAGGGTTAGAAACTCAAACTCAAACCTAAACGCAAATGCACAATGCCCAGGTGCCCGACTCCTAAAATCGGGTAATGTTATCCTTTCCCTGGACTATGCTTCCATCTGTGTTCATGTGGGAAGCACACTTGATATTCTTCAGGCAGATTTTCCAAGAACACATACACTAAAGCCAATCCAACTTTGTAAGAGGCAAGACCTGGGTTCTGCTCATTTCAAAACTTTAGGTGTTGTGTTTATGCCCTATAAGTCCTTTCAAAAATGGTTTCTGGCCCTGGCCAGTTTGGCTCAGCGGTTAGAGCGTCGGCCTGCGGTCTGGAGAAACCCGGGTTCGGTTCCTGCTAAGGGCACGTACTTCGGTTGCAGTTTGTCCCCGGCCCTGGTTGGTCGTGCGGGTGGCAGCCACTCGATGTGTCCCTTTCACGTCGATGTTTCTCTCTCTCTCTCCCTCCCACTCTATCTGTACAAAAAATGGAAAAATATCCTCTGGTGAGGATTAAAAAAAAAAAAAAAAAAAAAAAAATGGTTTCTGAGCTCGGGGCCAAGATTTTGGGGCAATAAGTACAAGAATCAATTTATTGCTAAAAAGCAATGTTACACTGGATTCACCCAGGTCAATACCAAAGTATTAAGATTTAGATTTAGAGCCCTGGCCAGTTTGGCTCAGTGGTTAGAGTGTCGGCCTGCGGTCCGGAGAGACCAGGGTTCGGTTCCCGCAAAGGGCACGTGCTTCAGTTGCAGTTTGTCCCCGGCCCTGGTTGGTCGTGCGGGTGGCAGCCACTCGATGTGTCCCTTCACGTAGATATTTCTCACTCTCTTTCCCTTCCTCTCTCTCCCTCCCACTCTATCTGTACAAAAAATGGAAAAATATCCTCGGGGGAGGATTAAAAAAAAAAAAAAAGATTTCGATTTAGACCCAGTAAGCCATTGGTTTGAAAGCCCCAAGAAGCTAATTTTCAAGTACCAAAGGTTTGGGGTTCATACTACCACAACCCAATCGAAAGAAACGTTGTTGAGTACTGAGCATCTCAAACTTTTTACTACTTAATACCTTTAATAACCAAAAAAAAAAACAAAAAAACCAGTAAGGGACGTTGCAACTTGGCTACCAAATATAGGGTGTGGCCCTAATATAAATGGCCTCGTCCAAACCTGCTTTTCCAGGTGGCCCCCATGTCCACTAAAGCCTGACCAATCGGGTAAAGCCCGCTGGACTTTTAGCCTGGGTGGAACTCCTCAGATCTGCCCAATAACTTCCTGGCAAAATCACGCCCTCAAACCCCACTTAAGGTACCCCCCCTTTTGCCACTCCCCCCTAGCACTTCGGCACCAGCAAAAAAAGAAGGCTTCACCGAGGACATTTGGGATCACCACAAACCCCACTCTGCAGATAGAAAAATAAAGGCAGGAAGGGAATCTTAATATCCGAAGCTTCACAATTAGTAACGGCCCCGGGCCAGGTACAGCCTTTAAGCCTACCACAAGACAGAGGGGTGGCCTAAGGTCAGTTTCCGGGTCCATTCTAGAAGCTTCTCGAATCGTCCGGCAGGAGACCCATCGAGGGGACCCCCCCCACCACCACCACCAGCCGGTCCCACCAAGCCAATCAGCGCCCTCTGCTCGGGTTGCCGGGGAAAGACGAGATTCGAACTGATGTTAGACCTGGGGTTCACCCAGACCCCAGGACCCACAGGTGGGCCCACGTGAAGGTGCGCGAACCGCCGGACCACTGTTGGGCGGCAGGCCAAGCCCGGACGCCTCCCAAGCCACTGCACTCCCACGCGAGCCCCACGAGCCCCGGGGAGGAGGAGTAAGAAGTGACATGGAGCGCTTCGCTTGCAGAGGCCCCGCTGCCCACACACTCACCAGCACTGAAGCAAATATAGCAAGACCAGTAAATGAGGAAGACGACTCACGAAGCGCCCGCGCGCAATCGCTGCGTTGCCTTTATAGCCTGTAGGGCTCTCGCGAGAGTCAGAGCGGGTCGGGGGTGAGCGAGGGGGAGAAGGGAGAGGGGTCAGGTTGGAGCCCCGCCCAGATCCAACACACCCAGCCGGGATGACTCAGCGCTTTTAGTCCCTAGGGGGCGAGCTCAGGTGCCCAAAGTACCGATTCTCCATACCTGCCACCGACGGTTGGGGTCCGAAAGTGAGGCACACACTCTTGATCTTCTCCAAAACCTAGCGCCTCCATTATCCTGGATCTCTTCGGCAACCGGGGCGTAGAGGGGTGCACGCCTCGCCCTCAAAACCCAAACCAGGGAGGAAGTCCTCGCCGCTACCCCCTCAGAAAGACCTGTGAGCTATCTAACCAAGTATTCCACCCAGGTCCCCATATTCTCTGACTTTGTGCTGACCCTCAGGACCCCTCAGTGCTTAGCCTCCTTCACTGTTATAATTACAGGATTGCTGCTTTCCGTCTCCCATACTTCCTTTCCACTGTGCCTGGTGGGACTTTTGAAATCTGACCGTGTCACTCCTCTGATTTGTGGTTTAAAAAACTGGAGCAATTTCCTGAATTCAAGCTTCTCACTGCCATTTTATGTGTGGCCATCAGGCAAGAGTCCCAATCACTTAGCCTTACTTTTCTTACCTATAAAATGGGAATGTTCTCTCTCTCCCTCTCTCTCCTTCCCACTCTATCTGAACAAAACTGGAAAAATGTCCTCGGGTGAGGATAAGCGAAAAAAAATGAGAATACTATTAATTCTTTTTTGAGATCATCTATTTAGCAGGGTACTCGGTTCTTACTACACATTAGAAATGTTCGCTGTTATTACTATAACTCTTGTTTCTTTTTTTTATCCTCACCCGAGGACACTTTTTTGTTTTTTTGTTCAGATAGAGTGGGGGGGGGAGAGAGAGACAGAAACATCAACGTGAAAGGAACGCATCAAGTGGCTGCCTCCCACACAACCCAACCAGGTCTGGGGACAAACTGCAACCGAGGTACATGCCCTTAGCGGGAACCGAACCCCGGGTCTCTCTGGACCGCAGGCCAACACACACTAACCGCTGAGCCAAAGTGGCCAGGGCTCTTGCTTCTTTTTTGTTGTTTTTGTTTTTTGGTACGCGCTCCTAGCGGGAACCGAACCCGGCGGAAGCTCCAACTGCCAAACTGACCAGGGCGGGCTCTTGCTTCTTGATTGTAACACCCAGAACAGGGTGTAGCTGTTTCAAACCTTCAGGCATTTGCTCAGGCGTGAAGAAATGTTACCAGCACTGGGATTCTTGGGTTCCCTAAGATAGAAATATGGGGGAACCCCCAGAGAAATTTTCAGATTTTTATTAAGCTTATGCCAGAGCACAAGGTGCAGGGATGGGGAACCTTTTTTCTGCCAAGGGCCATTTGGATATTTATAACATCATTCCAGGGCCATACAAAATTATCCACTTAAGCCCTGGCCGGTTTGGTTCAGAGGTTAGAACGTTGACCTGCGGTCCAGAGAGACCCGGGTTCGGTTCCTGCTAAGGGCACATACCACAAAAATAAATAAATAAATAAAAGTTGAACACGTTTTTTTAAATTAGCCTTCTATCCCTGTCTGGTTTGGCTCAGCTGTTAGAGCATTGGCCTGCGGATCAGAGAGTCCCGGTTCGGTTCCCGCTAAGGGCACATACCTCAATTGTGGTTTGTCCCCAGCCCTGGTTGGGGTTGTGTGAGTGGTAACCAGTCAATGTGTCTCTCTCACATCGATATGTCTCTCTCTCTTCCCCCTTCTCTCCCTCCTGTTCTATCTGAAGATAAATGCAAAAATGTCCTCGGGTGAGGATTAAAACAAAAACTAGCCTTCTATATTTGGTCAGGCTAATTTGGTGAGGCATATGATGTTGCAGGCCTTCTAAGGTTTCCCACCTCTGGTAGACAAAAGGAAGGATCTCTGACCTGGTTAGGTGGTTGGCTCTGCTTGGCTGTTTTTATTTTATTTTATTTTTCAGTCCTCACCAAGGACATTTTTCCTTTATCTTCAAATAGAGTGGGAGGGAGGGAGAGAGAAAGAGGGAGGCAGAGAGAGAAACATTGATGTGAGAGGGAAACATCAACTGGTTGCCTCCCATACGACCCTGACCAGGGCCTAGGACGAACCACAGCCGAGGTACATGCCCTTGACCAGAATTAAACCCAAGATTCATTGGTCCGAGGGCTGACGCTCTAACTACTGAGCCAAACCAGCCACAGTGCTTGGCTGTTTTTATAAGCTGGGGACAAAGCAGACTTTTGTGAAAAGGGGAGCTTTGGGGGGGGGGGGGGCAGGCTTGTGGAATTTTGCTTATCAGTGTATGAGAAGCAAGACCTTAAAAGGGAGATAAGACATTTTTCCTAGGAAGAGGAGGGATAATTATATTCTTGTGGTGGGTTTGTGTGTGTGTGTGTGTGTGTGTGTGGTTTTGTTTTGGGTTTTTTTTTTTTCACCTTTTTGCATCCCAGGGATCCCCAAGAGGGGCAGCTCTGTGGTTTTTCTTATCCAGTGTCCTTGGGATACCCAGCCCAGGTCCCTGTGCTGTCTCAGAAACATAGTTGGCCTAGAGAAAACGTCATCAAAGACTCAGTTAAAGGAGACGGGGGGGGGGGGGGGGGGCAGGACTGAGAGGAGGGTGTCAATGGGGGAAAAAAGGAGAAACATCTGTAACAAAAATAAGTAAATAAATAAATTTTTTAAAAGCTAGAAGGGACCTTAAATTTAAAAAAAAAAGACTCAGGCCCTGGCCGGTTTGGCTCAGCGGTTAGAGCGTCGGCCTGCGGTCCAGAGAGACCCAGGTTCGGTTCCCGCTAAGGGCATGTACCTTGGTTGCAGTTTGTCCCCGGCCCTGGTTGGTCGTGCGGGTGGCGGCCACTCGATGTGTCCCTTTCGCATCGATGTTTCTCTCTCTCTCTCTCTCTCTCTCTTCCTATCACTCTATCCGAACAAAAAAATGGAAAAATGTCCTCGGGTGAGGATAAAAAAAAAATTTTAAAAAAAGACTCAGTTAAAGCATTACTTACTCTGAAGCTGTTCTTGACCTTGGTTCATCCCCAGAATTCCTCTGAAGCTGTTCTGAGTTTTGCTCATCCCCGGTGTCCATTATCCTTTCCTTTGTATCAAAACAATAGCCTGTATAATAACAACAAACATTAAGCTATTTTACTTGTTTATATGTCTGCCTCTCCTTGCTAGGCTGATTTTCTAGAGGGTAAAATTTGGATCACATCTATCTTTGGGCCCCTCAGAAAACAACAGAGCAGCTCTGGCCAGTTTGGCTCAGCAGTTGGAGCGTTGGACTGTGGACCAGAGAGTCCTGGGTTCGGTTCCCACTAGGGGTATATACCCAAAAAAGAAAAAAGAAAAAGAAAACAACAGAGCACCTGATGTTAAAATAGGAGCATTTGCCTTGGCCAGTTTGACTCAGTGGTTAGAGCATTGGCTCAGGGACGGAATGGTCGAGGGTTCAATTCCAGGTCAAAAGTGTGTACCTGGGTTGCAGGTTCAATCCCCTGCCCCGAGGGCATCCTGTGTTAAGAGTCATGCAGGCCCTGGCCAGTTTGGCTCAGCGGTTGGAGCGATGGCCTGCAGACTAGAGAGTCTGGGGTTCGCTTCCTGATAGGGGCACGTACAAAAAAAAAAAAGAGTCAAGCGGGAGGCAACTGATCCATGTGTCTCTCTCACATCAATGTTTCTCTCTCCCTCCCTCCCTTCCATATTATCTAAAAATCAATGGAGCCCAGCCAGTGTGGTTCAGTGGTTGAGCATCGACCCATGCACCAAGAGGTCTCGGGTTCGATTCCCGGTCAGGGCACATGCTCAGGTTGTGGGCTCTGTCCCCAGTGGGGGGCATGAAGGAGGTGGCCAGTCGATGTTCTCTCTCATTGATGTTTTCTTTTTTTTTTTTCATCCTCACCTGAGGACACTTTTGCATTTATGTTCAGATAGAGCAGGAGGGAGACAGGGAAGAAGAGAGGGAGAAAAACATCGACATGAGAAAGACACATCGAGTGGCCGCCACCCACACAACCCAACGAGGGCTGGGGACAAACTGCAACCGAGGTACGTGCCCTTAATGGGAACTGAACCCAGGACTCTCCGGTCCGCAGGCCGACCGGCCAGGGCTCTCATCGATGTTTTCATCTCTCTCTCCCTCAACCTTCCTCTTTCTCTAAAATCAATAAAGAACCCTGGCCGGTTTGGCTCAGCGGTTAGAGCGTTGGCCTGCGGTCTGGAGAGACCTGGGTTTGGTTCCCGTTAAGGGCACATACCTCGGTTGCAATTTGTCCCCGGCCCTGATTGGGTCGTGTGGGTGGCGACCACTCGATGTGTCCCTTTCACATCGATGTTTCTCTCTCTCTCTCTCTCCCCCTCCCACTCTATCTGAACAAAATATCAAAAAATGTCCTCGAGTGAGGATAGAAAAAAAAATTTTTTAAATAAATAAATAAAATCAATAAAGAAAAAAAAAATTAAAAATCAATGGAGCCCTGACCGGTTTGGCTCAGCAGTTAGAGCGTCGGCCCGTGGACCAGAGAGTCCCGGGTTCAGTTCCTGCTAAGGGCATGTATCTCAGTTTCGGTTTGTCCCCGGCCCCAGTTGGGGTCGTGTGGGTGGCGACCACTCGATGTGTCTTTCTCACATCGATGCTTCTCTCTCTCTCTCTCCCTCCCTGTCTCCCTCCCGCTGTATCTGAAGATAAATGCAAAAAAATGTCCTTGGGTGAGGAATTTTTTTAAAAAAATTTTTTTTTAAATCAACAGAAAAATATCCTCACGCTAGGATTAACAAAAAAATATTTTTAAAATACAAATAAATAAAATAGGAGCATTTAATAAATAGTGTTATGTTCCCCTTTTCTGCTCCTACCCCCTACAATCCTACAAATTTCTTTAGACCTTATAGCAGGATAGGAAATGGGGAAGTGCTGTGTCATGCTGACTGAACATCTCAAATTCCTTTTTGGTATTTATCATCCTACCTTGCAACAGTAGTGATTATTATTA